AGGAACTGATGCTCTCGTGAACTTTCACTGGCCATGTAAAGGCATTTATAGGAGATGTCGTCATAGCGTTACGTTAAATAATATTGTCAGCCACCTGACCCTTGTATACGGGTGAGATCGTAAAGAATACGAACTGAAAAGTAACGTACAGCAAATCGTTTCAGAAACCTATGATACGAGAAACGCGTTATTTATATATAGGGTAAAATCGGACAGCTATACGGTATTATCTAAGCCTCGTGAATAGGTGATGGTGAAGTACCAGAGATGATTGCCTACCTGCAGCGTGTTGCGGATACCAAGCTTCGTGGAGTATGTACTTCGATAATGGTTCTATGTCTTCTTCAGTGTGTAACATGTGAACTAAAAGGCAAGTGTATAGCGTCGATAGATGTTGGCATTAAGTTGGTGTTTTAGTTACATTCATAGAATTAGATTAATTTCAAAATTAAATAAATTTATTATCAAAATCAATCAAAGTAGTTATAGAGCTGACGTGTAATACAGCCTAGATGTTTTTTATTGGGATAAATTAATATTTTTTTTATGAAAGTTCAACAAGCGGGGTTCAGCAATTGTCGTCAATTATAAAGGACTTATGTTCGAATAAAGCAAATACGTTTTACAGCCGATTGCAGGGTTTTTTTTATCTATAACAGCTAATGTATTTATAGGATTTATTAATAGTGCTTGAAATTTTGATGAGCACTGTAAGAACACAGAGTAAAAGTTACAACCAAAGGTTTAAAACGATTTTGTTTCGGATATTCACTCAACGATATACTACTGTCGAAATAATCGTCCCCAATGTCGGACCGACAGGCTAGAAAGAAAACAGCTAGATACCAACACCCACCGCCAACTCTTGAACAACTGTAATTTTGACTTTCAATCGTATATCGCACTAACGACTCCAAAGTGAGGAGCGCGATTTTAAGACAATAGGACGCGAAGCATGAATCAACGCATTCTCAGTTCGGCACGTTAGTCACGCCCGGCCTTTAGAATTACATAAATCCCTTGATCTCACTGTATTTTGTAGCGCTATTTTAGCACAGAATGAAGCTACACTGTAGCAGTTCGGATGTTTGTGCTGTACCAATATTTGGATGGTGAGAAACTACTAATTTGTACAAAATTCAGAATTAGTAGTATCACCGTTATAGCTATACCTGTTATAAACTACTTACAAGTTATAATTATTACATAGTAAAGGATCCGTTCATTTCATACGTGCAAGTTTCTGTTAACTAAGGTTGAAATATTTGGATATAGAGAGAACCGTTTCGATTCCACGTATACCCAAGAAGATGGTTTTTACTAACAAAAGATAACTGGTACGGAATTTTTACTTGAAGATTAATTGAACAGTAACCGTTTGTTTTCATAAGCGTCTAACCAGAGAGGGGGAAGAAAAAGCACGTGCACCCCAGTTTCAATGTTTTGATCACAACATTTTCGCCTCTAGTTCGGTCGCCAGTTCTTTCTTACACCCCCCCCCCCCAACACACTTTTAATAAAGTGAAGTGCGTTACTTTATGAGATGATAAAGTAGAACCTCATAAGATGATAAAGTAGAACTTCCAAAGATGAATATATAACAATTAAAGAGAATACGTTGCTCATACTGAATCTCACAATTAGTGTTAAAGTTGAGGATTGAGTGACGTTCCTTGAGGGATATGACACCGTACATGTCAGATAAAAAAAAAACGTGTACATTCATATTAAAAAGCTAACCCTAATTCAAGAACTGGGAAATTCCAACTCTCACCAGCCTTGTCTCTCACCGTAGTTTGATATAGCTATGTGCTGGATATAGTTTAGTGAAGGTTTTAGATAAAATTCCAGCTCTCACCAGCCTTGTCTCTCACCGTAGTTTGATATAGCTATATGCTGGATATAGTTTAGTGAAGGTTTTAGATAAAATTCCAGCTCTCACCAGCCTTGTCTCTCACCCAATTTTATCTAAAACCTTCACTAAACTATATCCAGCATATAGCTATATCAAACTACGAGGTGGAATTTTACCTAAAACCTTCACTAAACTATATCCAGCACATAGCTATATCAAATTACGGTGAGAGACAAGGCCGGTGAGAGTTAGTCACCAGCCTTGTCTCTCACCGTAGTTTGATATAGCTATATGCTGGATATAGTTTAGTGAAGGTTTTAGATAAAATTCCAACTCTCACCAGCCTTGTCTCTCACCGTAGTTTGATATAGCTATATGCTGGATATAGTTTAGTGAAGGTTTTAGATAAAATTCCAACTCTCACCAGCCTTGTCTTTCACCGTAGTTTGATATAGCTATATGCTGGATATAGTTTAGTGAAGGTTTTAGATATACACTCATACTCCTTCATGCCGAAAAAAAGATTCTGAAGTTACTCAGCTTAAATCAGCACTTGGGTTTCTTCACTTGTCTGGAGATTGAATTGTAATATGAAACCATACAGCAAACCCTTACCCAAGTTAGTTGTAATATGAAACCATACAGAAAACCTTAACTAAAGTGAGTTGTGATATGAAATTATATAGCAAACCCTAACCCAAGTTAGTTGTAATGTGAAACCATTCAGCAAACCCTAACTAAAGTGAGTCGTAATTTGAATAAGAAAAACATACAGAGAACCTTAATCTTGTGACCAGTTGTAAGCTGCATTTCGAGAAGTGTTAGTTGTGACCAATTCAGTTAGGTTGATGTTACAGATTATCATGATCCAGTAACAAATACAAGTGTTCGTTAAACATTAAAACATGCCGCTCTAAATAAAACCTGAATGCAAAAGCTATATATATTTTCGAGAAACACACCGACCTTTGCACCCTTCTGGCAGGTCATACACTTTTTCAGAAGTTTAGTCATGTGATTGCTAAATATCTAAATAAATGTTAAATATAACACTACTGTACACAATGAGCTTCATGATGTATAAAGCTTAAGTTTTTTGTAAATCAAATTTTCCTAATTCAGTTGAAGTACTTTTCTGCTAATTTTATGTCGTAAACAAAGCAGTCTGGGCTCAGCCATTTTCCAGAGATCGAACCTCAGAATGTTAGTATGTTGAGTAATTCAGTAGTTCATTGCTTGATTGTTTTTAAGTTAAGCACAAAGCTACACAATGGGCTATCTGTGCTCTGGCCACCACGGGTATCGAAACCCGGATTCTAGCGTTGTAAGTCCTCAGACATACCGCCGTACTACTGGAGGAGGAGCAGTAGTTCATACAGCCGTACCATTCTTCTGATGACTCACAGAGTAGTATGTTCAGTAATTCAGTAGTTCATATAGCCGTACCATTCTTCAGATGATTCACAGAGTAGTATGTTCAGTAATTCAGTAGTTCATATAGCCGTACCATTCTTCAGATGATTCACAGAGTAGTATGTTCAGTAATTCAATAGTTCATATAGCCGTACCATTCTTCTGATGACTCACAGAGTAGTATATCCAGTAATTCAGTAGTTCATATAGCCGTACCAATCTTCTGATGACTCACGGAGTAGTATATCCAGTAATTCAGTAGTTCATATAGCCGTACTAATCTTCTGATGACTCACGGAGTAGAATATCCAGTAATTCAGTAGTTCATATAGCCGTACCATTCTTCTGATGACTTACAGAGTAGTATGTTCAGTAATTCAATAGTTCATATAGCCGTACTAATCTTCTGATGACTCACAGAGTAGTATATCCAGTAATTCAGTAGTTCATATAGCCGTACTAATCTTCTGATGACTTACAGAGTAGTATATTCACTAATTCATATAGCCGTACCATTCTTCTGATGACTCACAGAGTAGTATGTTCATTAATTCAATAGTTCATATAGCCGTAATAATCTTCTGATGACTCACAGAGTAGTATATTCAGTAATTCATATAGCCGTACCATTCTTCTGCAATTTAATATCACTCTTGGTGGTTTAAGTGCACAAGTAAGCAATGAAGATGGTTCATACAAAACGTGTATCCAGACTGATTGGCAGAGAGTGGTTAAATTAGGATTTTGAAGGAGGGAGTAATCCCTCTTGTAACCCACTTTGCAGTAGTAACAGACTTGACCAGTGTGTTTGTGTGTAGTGGATCTACTTTTTATTTCACTATATGACGACAAACTCCAGTTCTAGTGTTGTCAAGACTCGCGAGAAAAACAAGCAGCACTGACTTTCAAAACAAGCAGCACTAACTTTCAAAAGAAGCAGCGCCGACTTTCAAAAGAAGCAGTACTGACTTTCAAAACAAGCAGCATCGACTTTCAAAAGAAGCAGCGCCGACTTTCAAAACAAGCAGTACTGACTTTCAAAACTGCTCTTTTATGACTTACCCTCAAAATGGCGATCTACGCGACTTAATTGAACAGGAGTGAGGATTAGATGACTTTAAAATTATAATGAGGTATAAACTATTAACTGATCCAGTCAATTATCGAAACTACTCCTATAACCATTTTACTGTGTGTTGAAGTCAGCTATTACAAAAAAAATAATAAATAAGCCAGAAAAACCGCAAATATCACAAAATTAAAACGACTCGTACAAAACAAAAAACAAACCCCGTTCCGCTTATTATAAGCAACATAGCTCTGTGCCCGCATGTAGCATTAACAAGCTGTTGTTTGCTATCTGACTACACTGGCTTCCGACAGGGACAAAACTAAATATGAAGTCAGCAATGAGTATAACTAATTACGTATCGTCCTCTTGTTTATAAGGGTGCCTTGTTTCATCACCCTCACTGTCAGTGATATTTTTGTAAAACCGCTAGCTTAATTTCGAGTATGTTGTCGAAATTAACAAGTAGGGGAGACCGGGGCTAGTTGTTACGATTTTTAGAAAAAGTCCAATATCTAGCGAAATAACCCGAATCATACATTGAAACTGAATGAAAGTGAAAGATAAATATGTACTTTATCAAAATTATGTATTCTATATTGAACAAAATTGGTTACATAAAAGATTTTGTAAATATTTTGAAGTAAAGTTAAGTGTAACAATATGCCCCAGATGAGGGGTAAGTTGATATG